TTGCCGTACATTCTCAGGAAGAAATGCCTGAGAAAATGAGGCACGGAGCACGTTTACTGTTGGTTGCTACCAAAAAGATGCAGCAATGATGGGGAATCTGTGCTCCAAATTATCCGATCCAAGATGCAGAACGGGATGTGCTAGAAACCAAAAATGCTGACAACGAAAGGCCCATCTACAAAAGAGTGTCAAGGAAAAGCATAGAGGAGATAGTGAAGCTGTTTCTTGGTAATCGGACAAAATTGACCCGTGTAGAACAGAAAAGGATCAGAGATTACACGCAGTTCGTAAAAAAAGGAAAGAAGCTTCCTCTGGAAAAGAAATCGCTGTTAGAACAACTAGGTTTTTTTGACGAGATTCCAAGACCGGACATAGCAGTAGGAATAGTTGGGACAGGAATGGACGATTTGGAAGCAACACCATTGAAATCGTGATTGAGAAGACTTAATGGAAAAAGAGGTTGTATAATTGTAATTGTGAACTTTGACACACATATGGATTTTTAAAATAAATTTCAGATTTTTCTGTTTGGGGTCTTCGAGGACAATAACAAATACAGCAGCATTGAGAGAGACATTAAGGTAAGTCGTGGCCAAAGATTGCTATTGTTTTGGTTCAGGGAACAATCAGTGTCCTGACTTAATGGAAGAAGTAGTTTTGTGTAACGTCAGGCTCGTAGAAGCAATTTGCGATTGCATCGCCCCGTCCTGCAGCCACATGGCTTCTCGCAAGTGTTAGGGATTTGTTGCCAAAGTAAATGGTTATATCTTGCTGTTCTAGGATATTTGCCAATGTCATGTCTGGAAAGATCCGCTGTTCAAGAGCTTCCAGAATATCCTGAACGGTGACGTAACAGCTGAGCACTTGGATTTTTGGTGGCGTGATGTCCCCAGCGTACTCCAAAGGAAGAGGATAGCAGCATTTGATATGTGCGACAGATTTTGGAGCTTCTGCGCAACCCTTTTGGCCCAAGTTTCAAGAATCTGCCCAGTCCACTGTCTTGCACGGAATCCCACTAGGCACAGCCATTCTCTTGTTGCTAAGAAGCCTCCCATTCCGTTGCAATTCAGTGGCTGCATCGGATTGTTCTCGTTGCGTAGTTTAGCCACCATGTGCACATTACAGTCTCTGCAGAAATACTCCCACGCCCCTGGGTGATCCTGAAGAGCTTGCAAGACATAATGGATGGGAGGCGAACAATCATCGTTCTTTGGTAGGTAGAACACGATGATTGCAATATGGGGCTGAATTCTGGCAGTCAAGATGCAATTGGGTACAACTAGCTTGTCCTCGCCGATCATTTTCACAGTCACCATTGGAAGGGACTCCTTCTTGTGTCTAGGGCACAGGAAACCCCAGCATTTGAACCAACTAAAGCAGGCAGGTGCATTGAAAATTCCGGAAAAGACTGGTACTGGAACAATATCCGTTGACCCATGGAAAGTTGTGTCACACTATATATCTGAACCGCAGGATTGTACACACCACTTGCATCCAGAACTTGTATCAGCCCATGCAGTAGGAGAAGAGACAATAGAACATACCCATTTTTATCCATGATGCAGCAAGGCTTTGCAAAAAACTACATGCTACAAGTACTCAATTGCAAACGGAATAGATTTTGGCCACTACAACAGGCTCAAAGGTTTGACAGCATTGCACTTACATGAGCAGTTAATTGTATCAAAAATAGGCTATATTCTGCAACAATCAAAGTATTCCCAAATGGACAAGGCTTTCAACGAACACCTGGCAGGAACTCCATGAGAGGGAATCAAATTATTTTCTCTCATGATTCTGTTGAGAAGGTCAATCATGTTTTGGTTTCTAAGGAGGACCTTGACAATATTACGAAGGTTCACTTCTACAATGAGAAAGGCAGAGACAATGTGTTGGCTTGGAAAACTTACGGAACATCCAAGCTATACGATTGTAGCAGCGTACTGCAACAATTGTTTGCAGTCCTTGGCCGGTTGAGTCCATACTATAGCCATATCAGACAGGATACAATTGATAACCTGGTTGAAAAAGTTGAGCAGAGTGTCAGGGAGAAGAAGGACAATCCAATATTCATCAGTGACAAGCAGAGTCTTCTGCATGAAAAACGTCTTGGCTCTGATGTTGGTGGTGTCCATCAGGTGGACTCCATGTCAGATAATTACCATGATTACTTTGGAGGAGCATCGACATTACAAATTGAGGGTTCCAGCCATCCAAGTAGCAATGAGGATCTCCCTCTTAAGACGCATGATGTCAGCCCATCACCAGATACCTTGCTGCAAACGGAGAGCAACCGCAAGCAAGTTGAGAGTTGGATTTCGGTTCTGGCGGACACCAGACAAGCGACAGGCTTGTCGTCGTCCAAGAAACCGATTGACAACTTTGTGGCCCATAAAGCCATCATTGCCAACCAGCCGTGCCAACATGCGACCCATCAAGTCGTCATGCAGAGGCACCGAACATAGCGATCTCCGATCCGCCTAATAGGAAATAATCATCTCTACAGGAAATAACTATTCTAAAAGACTTGTTATCTACATGGAATGGGCAAAGCAAAAGCCTTGCACGAAAACTCAAATTTCCCAAAACTTTACTGGATGTTTGCAATCCAGAAAGGCCGGTACAAAACCCACGTACCGAACTGCCGCAGGATTCAGTATGGGATTTTCGTGGCGCTCAGACGTTTGATAGTCCAAGCGCACAATTCCATGTTTTCAGATTCCCTGCAAAAACCGACTTATAGGAATCCCCCGAATAAAAGGACCAAAACGGACATTTGTCCGTCTGTCCGATCGGACTTGTCAAACTGCTTCTATCAAGGAGTTTCCAATGAATGGTCTCCAAGAGAGCAATTTCAACATTGAGAATGATGCTATTCAAAACGTGATGAAAAGTGTTGATGAAAGCAAGACCGTGAGCCAGCATCAAATGGAGTCAGACGATGTTGTACGGGGATGGTTTGGAGAACATGAATCAGAAGGAAGAGACAGGCATAACAACTCTTTTGTCATATCGCATTGATGCCAAGACCCAATCAATGAGTTCTTGCCAGATGATGACGATGCTGACATGTATCTTTCCATGGCTGTTCCCTATCAGAAAAGCTTATGGAAGACGTTCTGGTAACCTCAATGGCGAGGAGTTGAACCATTTGCTGAAACAGTTTAGTATGATTCATGGTCAGGACAGACGAATGT